CTAGATGGTTCTGGGACTTCACATACATCCCTATTATTTTGTTTTGCAATGCCATTAAATACAAGAGATATCTCCTTCTTTTTTTTTTTTGGTAAATTCTAAATCTTTGATCTGAACATATCTCCTCCCCTAAAAAAAAGAGGGGGAGAATGTTCTGTGGCAATACAGTACTTATAAAATACCAAACAATGTCCAAATGTAGTTATGATACATTCTGTTCTACCGTGGTTGTTACGTGACTTTCTGATTTACCCATTTAAAATCGTTTTAGTATAACGTACTTAATACCCTCTATACAAATTAACCTGTGATTTATTTGAAAATGTTCACGTTTTTGTGTCTTCCATAAAATGTTTGTAGAATTTATTTTTTAATGTTAATAAAACTACAGTCTTGTGACACTTCTTTTTTTTTGCTAAACGTTACCAAAGGACGTGTAAAACTTCCAGAAATACATAGTTATTAATTACAAACAGCACGAACAATACATATTACTATAAACCAGATAAGCCTGATCTGACTTAATGAAATAGCCTCACTCATACAAGGAAAAAACTGATAAGGCGCTTATCTAAAAAAAATAAATAGATCGGAAAACTGGTATATTTCAGCATATAAATATAACGAGTTTACACAAGATATAATGTTGGATTAGAAGGGTATCCGATTTAATATAAGAATAACGTTCTTACTCTATATATAAATAGAGTATAATGGTGTGTGTTAAATATATAGATAGTTTTACATTTACTTTACTTGTAATGTCTTTCTTCTATTTCCAAGCAAGCAAAACCTAGATGACGGTTCAGGACTGAAAGCCATTATATACCTGATGTGTGAAAGTTGTGTTAATTCAAGTCAAAGGATGTCAATATAAAATCTACCACCCAGCTAACAGAAAGTTATTTATAATATAAAATGTACCACCCAGCTAACGGAAAGTTATCTATAATATAAAATGTACCACCCAGCTAAGAGAAAGTTATTTATAATATAAAATGTACCACCCAGTTGTCGGAAAGTTATTTATAATATAAAATGTACCACTCAGCTAACAGAAAGTTATCTATAATATAAAATGTACCACTCAGCTAACAGAAAGTTATTTATAATATGAAATGTACCACCCAGCTCACAGAAAGTTATTTATAATATAAAATGTACCACTCAGCTATCGGAAAGTTATTTATAATATAAAATGTACCACTCAGCTAACAGAAAGTTATTTATAATATAAAATGTACCACCCAGTTCACAGAAAGTTATTTATAATATAAAATGTACCACCCATCTAACAGAAAGTTATCTATAATATAAAATGTATCACCCATCTAACAGAAAGTTATCTATAATATAAAATGCACCACCCAGCTAACAGAAAGTTATTTATAATATAAAATGTACCACCCATCTAACAGAAAGTTATTTATAATATAAAATGTACCACCCATCTAACAGAAAGTTATTTATAATATAAAATGTACCACCCATCTAACAGAGAGTTATTTATAATATAAAATGTACCACCCAGCTAACAGAAAGTTATCTATATTATAAAATGTATCACCCAGCTAACAGAAAGTTATTTATATTTAAGTGCAATGAATCAGCCTAGAAAATAAAATCACCTTCCTCGCTACTATATTGTCAGCGATTATAAGTAGAAAACAACAAAAAAAGGTAAAATCAATTTTGAAATAAATAATTTATTTTAAACTAGAGGAACTATTTTCTTTTTTTTTTTTTGGAAAGCATAATTTATCTAATATATATGTTTAATTTGGCATATGTTATTTTCAACCTGAACTACTTCTATAGTCTAAACGGCAAGATCAGAGACTCCTAGAGTCCAGAAATGACCACTCCTAATGTTGAATGACCAGAGGGAGGGCAAACAATTAGCATTGTTCTTCGCTTACAGAGTTAATTTTAGCGGAATTGACCATCGCTTGTCATTTAAACGGCGCAGATAGCCCTCGTGTAGCTTTGCGCGAAATTAAAAAACAAACATTTTGTGACGTGCTTACAGTTGGAAATGTTTGAACCTAGAACCATTCAATCTGCAGCCCTTCTTGATAAACACTAAGCCATAGTTTAATTGTAACGTAAATGAACCCGTTTATATGATAGGAAATGTTCATTAATACAAATAGTATTTATAAGTTTAAATAACAATATCTACTTAACATAAAAAAGGACGATTTTGAAAACGAAAATATATCTTACAAATTTTGAAAACACCTTTCAAAAGTTGTAGATCATCTTATTTATAAGTTAGATAAAAATATTTAAAGGTAGATTATTAAAGTAAAGATGATTATTTACAAGTAACAAACAAAACAAAATGAACTTTAAAACTTTATAAACTAAAATAAGACACAAAGCAAACTACTTTATAAAACAGAATTATATCACATGTTGTTAAATTGCACGAATAAGACTATCTTTATAAACTTTAGATAAAATGTGCTGAATTTGTAGATTTTAAACGGCTTACCCTTCACTACGTGAACAAGCACGCTAGAAGGCTCAGTATTAGAAGGGTCACAGGTATAGTTTCCGGAATCTCCAGGTCTTGCATCTTCAATATAAAGCTTGCTAATAGCTGTATCCTGACGGATTTTCTGGACAAAGATATGTCCTCTTGGTAGGTCGTAGTTAATCATACGATTGTTGTGGTACCAAAAAATGAAAGAAGGGAGCTCAGGACTGTCACTGATCACGCATGTTAAGTTTATTGGACTTCCGGGGTCAACAAAGAGGTCACTTCCGCCATGGATGTCGGTTTGGGGAACTAAAAAAAAATGTAAAAAAAACAATGGAGTAATTGACTGTCACGCTTATTTGTAAACACGTAGCTGATAATTCATTAAAATCATAGCTTTAAAAGAAAATTAAATATATCTGTATAACTTTCCTATTGTAAACATACACATTTTTATAAATATTTTAAAACTAGGTCAGAGTTAATACAGACGAATAACGCCTTTTTTTTAAATGTAAACTGAAGTTCGCATACTATTCTATCTCAAAATTAGTAAAATAAAAAATTCTTTGATTTAGGATTCACAGGGAAGAATCAAAAATATATCTCGAGTTCCATTTTTGCTCAAATATTTAGAAACAATTATGTGATAAAATGAAGAATTTCCTTCTGCTTTTATAGGCTCAAAGAGACACGTGAATGAGAATTTTGAATCAAATGATTTTTTTTTAAATCGTAATAGAAATTATCAAATTTTCGTAGAAAACCTTAGAAAAGGAAATATTTTGTCAATTACTTGCTTTGCTTATACACGTGACAACGAATGACTTGGTGAATTTAGTCTAAATTTCTTGTGAATTAAAATTATCGGTGTTCATTGGGCAGTGCACGATCCATTGAAAAGAAAACCAATGCTGGATCACGTATGTTTTTCATGTTCCATGATCACGCATTGTACAATAACAACGGGCCCGACATGGCCAGGTGGTTAAGGCGCTCGACTCGCAATTGCAGGCCGCGAGTTCGAATTCCCGTCACACTAAACATGCTCGCCCTTTCAGCCGTGTGGACGTTATACAGGGACGGTTAATCCCACTATTCGTTGGTAAAAGAGTAGCCCAAGAGTTGGCGGTAGGTGGTGATGACTAGTTGCTTTCCCTCTAGTCTTACACTGCTAAATTAGGAACGGCTACCGCAGACAGCCCTCGTGTAGCTTTGCGCGAAATTCATAACAAACAAACAAACAAAAATAAGAACGTTTATTACAAGAGGCTACGTTAAAGCGAGTGAATAAAAGATTGCAACTTTGAACATTGCTGGTTTTTTATTTTATTTTACACGACATAGAATGTGGAAATACAGTTTTGTTTTTGTATTGTTGTTACTCCGATGTATGTAGACGAAAAGAAAAAAAAAAACGAATCACTTTCACCTTCCATTGTCTTCATGAAAGATTAAATAAAGATTCCTGACTAGATAGAAATAAAAATACATTATCTTGAGAGTACAATCGTTCACTATAAGACCGTCTTTAAGTCACTAACAGCGCATCCAACGTTCCAGAAAAGTCGATACCCCTACAATGCATTACGTTCGTCCGAAGAACGTCGAAACTAAGATTATATTTTATAAAAAATAAAAAAAAAAGGTATCGTTACTTTCGAATAAAAATAAAAATTAGAGTGATGGACTGTTTGTTTTGAATTTTGCTCAAAGTTATTCCAAATTTATCTGTGATAGTCGTCCCTAATTTAGCAGTGATAGACTAGAGGGAAGGCAGCTAGTCAACAACACTCACCCTCAACGTTTGGGCTTCTCTTTTATCAAAGAATAATTATTGAACGTCATATTATAACGCCCCCACGACTGAAAGGGCACATATATATATATATATATTCGGTGACGGGGATTCGAACCCGCTGATTACGAATCGAGCGCCCTAACCAGCAGACAATGTCAGGCTCCAGAATAATGGAAAAATCAACAACGCATCAAAATTAACTGACATGATGAACGCATTCGCTGCACTTTCATAAAACTTGTTGAGATTATTCATATATGAATTTGTAAAGATTAAATAAGTTACAAGACTGATCGTATGATATGCAGAACTAGACAATGCGTCCATTTTAAACAAACACTCCAATGAAAAACATCATGTTTTGTCTTTCGAATTCTTCAAGAAGCAAGCAAAAAATAAAACTAACAAATGTTAAATTATTTCGAAAAAAATCATCTGATTACTGAAATTCTTTAAAAAAACTTTAATAGAAAAAAATCGTTAACAAAAATCATAAACTAAACGAAAGCGTCTTTATATGCATGTTCACAATAAATGGGGCCCGGCATGGCCAAGTGGTTAGGGCGCTCGACTCGCAATCTGCGGGTCGCTGGTCCGAATCCCCGTCCCACCAAATATGCTCGCCCTTTCAGCCGTGGGGGCGTTATAATGTTACGGTCAATCCCACTATTCGTTGGTAAAAGAGTAGCCCAAGAGTTGGCGGTGAGTGGTGATGACTAGCTGCCTTCCCTCTAGTCTTACACTGCTAAATTAGGGACAACTATCACAGATAAATCTGGAATAACTTTTGCGCGAAATTCAAAACAAACAAACAAATCAGAATAAATGATGTTGAAGACGTGAAAAAATATACGAAGCAATGGAGGCAAAAACTATGAGAGTAATAGTTGTTATTAATGGCTATTTTGAAGAAGCTCTATGAACAACAATGAAAAAAACCAACAAAAAACATAGCATCAGCTCAGAGATAATAACAGCCATCAAGACCCTAACAGCAACGCCGAATACGCAGTCTCGATATGGATGATTGAGTGTTTTCTACAACGGAAGGTGTGAGACAAGGCTGCGTCCTATCTTTGTCTCTCTTCTTAGAACATACCACGACAGATGCTTTTGAAAATATCGAAAGAACAGTGTCACTCGGAGGATGAAAGATTTAAAACTTTTGCAGATGAAATGGACTTTTGGAAGAATCACAGCAACTTGAGAAATATATGTTGGCTGTAAAAAAAACCAGAAAGACTGGGCTCTCGGAACACCCTGAAGCTAATATCACGGAAGAAAGAAGCTCGAACGCAAAAGTCAAAACAAGAATCGCCATCAAAGTTCCACCTTCGAGAAATTCGACAAGGTTTAAGAAGCAAAAGTATCTCTGTAAATATTAAGATTCACTCTTCAGAACGTTGAGATGTGACACAGTTCTTCCTGGTTAAACCTCTACAACTTTTGTACGTTGAGATGTGACACAGTGGTTCATAATTAAATCTCTACAGCTTTTGTACGTTGAGATGTGATACAGTGGTTACTAATTAAACCTCTACAGCTTTCATACGTTGAGATGTGACACAGTTGTTCCTAATTAAACCTCTTCAACTTTCATTCTTTGAGACGTGACACAGTTTTCCCTAATTAAACCTCTACAGCTTTCGTACGTTGAAATGTGACACAGTTGTTCCTAATTAAACCTCTACGTATTTCGTACGTTGAGATGTGACACAATTTTTCCTGAGACACAAAGAAGAAGAATACTGATCTTCGAGATAAGATTTTACTGCAGGCTCCTAAACAGCACAAGGGACAGATGAATAAATCTGAGCAGATATATTAGTAGCCATTGGAAAGCCTGGGAATCTATTAACCATTATAAAGAGACGCAAAATGACATGTTTCGGCCACGTAAAAAAGAGCATCATTCTACAAGGTTTAGTAAATGGAAAAAAAGGTCGTCCCAGGACAACACGGAAAGAAAACATTGCACATAGATAGAAAAGATGCACACAGAGCTCTTCCAAGTTGCTGAAGATCAACAGAAGAGGAAGGATATTGTTACTAGTACTTCAGTGATGGCACCCCACCATCAAGGCGGTCATGGGACAATTGACCTGAAATTAAGCTGTCTAATGTAAGAATGGCATACACCACTAAATCAAAAAAAATTATGAAATGCTGCAAGAACGAAATTTCTTTCTACTGCTTGAAAATCATGTCTGATACGCACACACATATATCATTTTGTGGAAATTATAAGATAAATTATTTTATAACGCTCTATATCTTTATTATATATTAGTTTGGACATAAAAATGTGCTATTAAATTATTATACATATAAAAATGCATGCTTATTGTCTAAGGTTTAAGCCTAAGAAATCATTGAAACTGCTTTCATGTACATCAAGATACATTCAACCAATCATAATGCCTATGAATGCATGAAAAGTCATTATTCCCAGCAGTAGTGTAGTGAAGGCAATCATGATTCAGGATAGAAATGGTACGTGACAAACGTGTAGAAATCAAACTTTTAGCTTCTGAAGACTACTCTACGAGACTGATATTTCATGTTTCAGTAGGACCTGTAAGAAAACTCTGAAAAATGTATGTGAAACAAGTATTGCTGGAAAATAGAAGCGCTCGACGAAGAAAGCCCAAAATCTTCAAAAGTAATATTAAAGAACTCGGGCCTGATCTTTGTGTGAAATACGTAATATTAAAGAACTCGGGCCTGATCTTTGTGTGAAATACGTAATGTTAAAGAACTCGGGCCTGATATTTGTGTGAAATACGTAATATTAAAGAACTCGGGCCTGATATTTGTGTAAAATACGTAATGTTAAAGAACTCGGGCCTGATCTTTGTGTGAAATACAACAATTCGCAAGGATCTTGCCAATGATTTAATTGTAAGTACAGGTGGGAATGTTACCTCCAGAGATATCTATCTGCTAAAACATACTACATAGAAGAAAAAGACACAGCTAAATAAACGTCATACCTCACACAATGAATGAAAAAAAATAGCTGGCAACAATCAACGATAGTTTGTTTCGATGATGGAGAAGAGAACGATATTATAGTGAAGCATTCTTGCGAACTTTTATAAGTGTGGACTGCATATCAGTATATGGTTTTAGAGATCAATACAAAACTGATGGCACCCTGACTGTTGACAGCTACAAGCAGATTCTTAATCATTGTTTCATTCCCCCAGCAACCAGATACACTTGACAGAGATTTATTTTCCAGCAAAACAAGGATTCCAAGCATGCAGCAAATGTAATGACCCAAGATCCGATGAAACACTCACAACCACAGCTTAGTCTTCACAAAATCGAGATATAATATCATCAGTCTTCACAAAATCGAGATATGAATATTATTAGTCTTCACAAAGTCGAGATATGAATATTATTAATCTTCACAAAATCGAGATATGAATATTATTAGTCTTCAAAAAATCGAGATATAATATTATTAGTCTTCACAAAATCGAGATATGAATATTATTAG